ACGACTCAGAAAGATGGGGTCCAGGGCTCCGGTCGTGATTTTCTGCGATGCTACAGTTTCTTCGCATCGGTGGATTTCAGGCTGGTGAGTCAGTGGGGATTCCAGGTCACCATGCGTTTGGGGGGTTGAGTCGTCCTCCGAGGATGTCTCGAGCGACCGGGGCCTCCAGAGCCGTGCGGTGACGGACCGCGCGGCGAGGTCTTAGGCGATGCCGAGGTCACCGCACGGTCCGTCACCACTCAAGCAGTGGCGAAGCGTCCTGGCGTGCGCATAGGCCTACCAAACAATGCTCTAAGAACCTTTTGTGGCTCCCACGACATGTTCTTAGAACATTTCTGGCTGGGACAGTCGTGTTTCAACCCCTCGGGCTTATGTTCCAAGAACAGTGTTTCTGTCCTCGGTACATTTTGGGGGCTCTATAAGAGCATGTCGAGGTAGGCCTACAGGAGCGCCGGGACGGCCGGTCCCTGCTCCAACCGCACGGCTTCGGGGCCCGGGCAGCCAGGGCACTGCAGGCCAGGACCCAGAGATCCGATGTCGTGATTTTTTCAATACGGGGTCCCCGGAAGTCTCGACCCATTCCCCAGGACCGGTTTTTCATTCTGAGTCGTTTTTTGACGGCCCCGAGGCCCGGCGAGGGCCCTTAGGGGCCGAAATTTGAGAAAAACCTCCGTCTTGATTTTTTCAATACGTTGGATCTCTGGGGACTTCATGCCAGATCTGGCGGGAGGGCGGAGAGCAGAGTCGTTGCCCCTCGGCCTGCGGCCGCCGCTCTCCGGGGGTGCGCCACCGCCCTGGCGCAGCCGGGTCCCCGCTCGGCGGGGCCCCGACGACCAAAGCCTCGATCCTCGCTCCCCTCCCTCCCTCCTCCTCCCTCCTCCCTCCTCCCTCCTCCCTCCTCCCTCCTCCCTCCTCCCTCCCTCCCTCCCTCCCTCGCCCCCCCCCCCGATGCTCGACCCTGGACAGCCTCATCTGGTTTTCGCCCTCGGCGGCCCCAGGAGTCGTCCCGACGCCTTCCGCGGGGGCACTCTGCGTGACGGCTCCGCGTTGGATGGCCTCGGGGGCCCGAGAAGGGGCCCTCTGGGGCTGGGATCGAGGAAAGGCGCGCCAGGTCTGAAGCGCTCGTCTATCCTCGGAGATCGGGGCACAGGGCGAGCTTCCCCCGAGGGCTGGAGTCGAGGAACAACGCTCGGGACTCCAACAATCACACACTCGAAGATCTGGGCCCATCTAGGCATCTCAGATGGGGTCCGAGCAGATGGGATCGGAGGAATGCGCTGTATCGCCGATGCATCGCCGATGCCTCGGCGATGCGGCCCGATGCGGAGGCCGACTTTCGCCACGCCGACGGCGCCAATGCACCGCCGACATCACTGGCGCATCGCCAGTGCATCGCCGATGCACCGCCGATACATCGGCGATGCGGCGCGAGCCTCCGACCCCATCGTGGAGGCCTCCACGGTTCAAGACCTCGGCGGACCCACCCGGCGCAGGGGCCACCCCACGATGGTCCGCGAGGCGTCCACGGGCGGCAAGACGCAGCCGGCGAGACCTCGGCGGGCCCACCCCCGGCGCACGCAGGGCACCCCACGATTCAGGAGGGAAGAAACACACAGACACAATTAATCGTCGATTCCCCAGAAAATATGGAAAACTATGGGAAGCCCTGCCGAGGGGCCGGGCGGCTCCGCCGAGGCTCCGCCGCGCCGCCGCCCGAGGGCGCCCCGCGGGCACCCCGCGGGCGCCGGGGTCACTCCTCCTCCTCCTCCTCCTCCTTCTCTCTCTCCCCTCCTCCCCCTCCTCCTCCTCCTCCTCTTCCTCCTCCTCCTCCCCCTCCTCCTCCTCCTCGTCCTCCTCCTTCTCGTCCTCCTCCTTCTCGTCCCCTCCCTTTTACTACGAAGTCTGGAGTACCCTCACCACACGGGTTGGCCGCACCCACCCGCGAGGCGCCCACGGTCTGCCGCGTGGGGCAACACCGCGCCAGGCCCACCCCGCGCACGGGGCGCTCACGCGCGGGCGCCCACGGAGGGCGGCGTGGCGGAGCCTCGCGAGACCCGCGGAGGAGGACTAGGATGATGATGATGAGGAGGAGGAGGAGGAGGAGGAGGAGGAGGAGGACGAGAAGGAGGAGGACGAGGAGGAGGATGAGGAGGAGGAGGAGGAGGAGGAGGAGACGAGGAGGAGGAGACGAGGAGGAGGAGGAGGAGGAGGAGGAGGAGGAGGAGGAGGGGAGGAGGAGGAGGGGAGAAGGGGAGGAGGAGAAGGTGAAGGAGGAGGAGGAGGAGGAGGAGGAGAAGGAGGAGGAGGAGGAGGAGGAGTGACCCCGGCGCCCGCGGGGTGCCCGCGGGGCGCCCTCGGGCGGCGGCGCGGCGGAGCCTCGGCGGAGCCGCCCGGCCCCTCGGCAGGGCAGGGGCGAGCCCATTGAGTGCAGGCACTGTTTCGGGGAGTACTCCAGATTTCGTAATGAAAGGGAGGGGGTCTGGACCCTCCAAGACAAGCCATTTCAGACCTCCCTCGTGGGAGAACCCTCCAAAACATCGTCCCCAGACCGCCCCAGGCCCTCCAAGATAGCCTGGAAGAGACCCCCCCCCGAAATGAGACCCCCCTCCCTTTATTACGAAATCTGGAGTATCCTCTGGGATCGGGGCCGGAGGCCTCGAGAGGGTCCATCTCGATCCCACCGCCCCGATTCGGTAGCGATGCCGGCCGGCTCGGTCCAAGTCCTTGTCCGAGGTGCCGACGACCCGATTCGGGCCGATGCTTGCACGGCGCTGTTGTGCATCCTGGCGCAGCCGATCCGATTCGATGCCCCTCCGTAGCCATTTTGGCTCAGGCTGCTTTGGCTCAGGCTTTCGCCGAATCCAGTGAGTCGCAGTGCCACGTACTCGCCCAAAGTGTAAGATGGCTCGCCAGACTGACAGTGAGTTGCTTTGCGCAAGGATGGCCGGCTTCACCATGGCCCGCTCTCAATCAATGATGATCAGTGACCAGGCGTTGGGGTCTATAGGCGAAGCGTTCGGCAACCGGCATTTCCGCGCCGCGCTCAGGGAAAGACTTGCCGTGCTGGATGCCGTAAGCATGGACAGCAGAGAGAAGCTCGGTGTGCACGTGAGCGGTTTTACCTTGACGATTTGTGCTGGAATGGTCAACGCTGTGGCATTTGCGAAGTTCGAAACCTACGTCAGCCACGTCTCTGGCTCTTCCACGGCGATCGGACTCCGTTCATTTGAGCTGCAAAAAGGAGATGTGGACGTTCCAGCGTTGCTCGTCCTTGATTTCATTGTCGGATAAATATTGTGCGGCTTGCTCATTCCCAAGGCGACTCTCAAAGTCGGCAAGGCACCCTACTCGACCGCCCTCATCATGCTCGCGTGCATCATGGCCATGCGGATGTCCCTTTCTGGTTACGGCGCCCCTGGCGCGCACCTTCTGGTCCTGGGCTGCGGCCTCCAGAGCGGACCCTGCTCGTCTTGGAATCCGATGGAGTTCGGCCCCCGCCGAGCCTGGAAATGTTTTTGGGCCCTGCGCTCCTCCCGCCCGACCGCGCGGGCAGAGGCCTCTTCGAGTTGCCTCCGCCACAGGGGACGTCGAGTGAGGTTTTGGGGGGGGGGGCGGCGTGGCGGGGGGGGAGCGCCGTCCGTCGAGGGGAGAGTACCGTGGCCCGGGGCGGCCTTCCACGACGGCTGCTCTCTCTCTCTCTCTCTCTCTCGCGCTCGCAGCCGGCATGCCGTCCTCGGCCTCTCCCGGGCTGCGGCGCTCGCTTCACGAGCCGGTCGGGCTGCTGCGCGAGAGGGGGGGGCCAGGGGGGGCGATGGGGGCGCGGAGGCGTGGCGCGTGCTTGGCGCGGGGAGCGGCACGGACGGGCGCGCGGCAAGCCCGAAGCCGAGCTGCGCCTGCCCTGTCGGCATTGGTTGGCGCTGGCATTGGCAGTGGAAAGGCGCCCAGACCTGATCCGTTGCAGAATCGTGTGAGTAGCTACCCTTCTCGCGAGCCAGTCGGGGTGCCTTGGGTGTACCATCCGCGAGCGAGAGGGCGTCGATGTGAGCATGTGTGTCGTGTTTCAGATCGGCATCGCCGTTCGGCCAAGCTTAGCGTGCTCCTCTTTGGCGTGCCCTGACCTCCCTGCTTGGTGCCTGTATTTTTTCTGGCGCCGAATTCAGCGCATTGCTTGCATATCTGTGAAATGCGATCTCGTGCCTTGTTCTGCTCGAGATCCACCTACTGACCGTGCTCCTCTTCCTCCTTCTCTTTTCACCTCCTCTTTGATGGGGGACACGCCCTCTCCACTGGTTGGGTGCGCCGATCCGAGCCGACCCCGATCCCGTGGCGAAGCGGCACGATCCGCTGCACGCTCCGATCCGATACGGCTTCCCGATTCGATGCTGGCTGCTCCTGCCTCGATGAGAGGTGTACACAATGTTAGGAGGAGGAGGGGGAGGAGGGGGGAGGAGGGAGAGGAGGGGGAGGAGGGGGGAGGAGGGAGAGGAGGGGGAGGAGGGGGAGGAGGAGGAGGAGGAGGAGGAGGAGGAGGAGGAGGAGGAGGAGGAGAGGAGGAGGAGGAGCAGGAGGAGGGGGGCACCTGCGCGCGGGGGCGCCCGCCTTCGGCGCAAGGGGGGCCCGCCGCGCCCCGTGCGCGGCCGCTCGCCGCGCCTGGGGCGGGAGCCTGCCGGCTCGGCTCGTCTGGGGGGAGGGGGAGCGGCGGCGTGATGCAGCGGAGGAGGAGGAGGAGGAGGAGGAGGAGGAGGAGGAGGAGGAGGAGAATGATGATGATCGTGATGATGAGGATGAGGATGAGGATGATGATGCTGATGCTGATGCTGCTGCTGATGCTGATGCTGCTGCTGCTGCTGCTGCTGCTGATGATGATGATGATGATGATGATGATGATGATGATGATGATGATGATGATGATGATGACTACATGATGAGGAGGAGGAGGAGGAGGAGGAGGAGGAGGAGGAGGAGGTCCGCGATCGTGCACCTCGAGCTGGCGCCCGGAGGCGAGCGAGTCGGAGCGAGTTGCGGCAGCGAGGGCTGTGCCCAGCTGCGTCAAGGCGGGCCGCCGCGGCGCCCCCGCAAGCCTCCGGGGGGCGGCCGCGGCCGGCGGGAGGAGGAGGAGGAGGAGGAGGAGGAGGATGCCAAGGCGCAGGAGGACGAGGAGGACGAAGAGGGGCAGGAGGAGGAAGAGGAGGAGGGCCAGGAGGACGAGGAGGCCAAGGCGGAGGAGGACGAAGTGGAGGACGAGGAAGGGACGAGGTGGGCGGCAGGAATGGGGACGACTGGGGAGAAGGGCGGGGAGGACAGAGAGGAGGAGGAGGAAGAGGGGGATCAGGAGGATGGAGTGTTGTACGAGGATGAAGAGGAGGAGGAAGAAGAGGAGGAGGAGGAGGAGGAGGCGGGGGGGCGGGAGGAGGGGAAGCAGGAAGGGATGATGCTGGTGATAAGGACGATGATGTTGCTGCTGTCGCTGATGATGATGATGGTGATGACGGAGATCATGATGGTGATAATGATGATGTTGCTGATCATGATGATGCTGATCATGTCGATGATGGTGAGGATGAAGATGGTAATGATGATGATGGTCATGATGTTGATGATGATGATGATGATGATGCTGATGATGATGATGATGGTGACGAGGTTGACGATGATGATGGTGATTGTGATGGCCATTGGGATGGTGATTGTACTTTTGATGATGGTTCGTTTAGTATTGATGGTTGCATTGATGGTGATGATGCTGCTGATGATGGTGAGTATGATGATGGTGACTATGAGTGTAATGACGACGATGACGAGGACGGTGACGAGGACGACGTTGGCCATGATGATGATGCTGCTGATGATGCGGCTGAGGATGATTAGTCTGATGATGATGGCGATGATGGTTGCGATGCTTATGATGATGGCGATGCTGATGACGACGACGATCAGCATGACAATGCTGGCAATGATGCTGATGATGCTGCTGGCGGTAATGATGTCGATGCTGGTGATGACGATGCTATTAATGATGATGCTGCCCGTGCAGATGTTGCTGATGATGACGGTGATACTGGTGATGAGAATTATGGTGGTGACGATTATGCTGATGACGAGAAGGATGCTGATGCTGATGATGATGCTGATGATATGGTTGATGATGTTTATGATGGTGATGTTGATGATGGTGTTGCTGATGCTGCTGGTGCTGATTATGATACTGCTTATGTTGCCGATGATAACTGTGATGAAAAGGATGATGCCGATGATGATGATGAGGATGAGGAGGAAGGATACGGAGGTGGAGCTGCCCGTAATCATTGTTCCTCATACATCTTTCCCGCCCTGCTGCTTTTGCCGGCCCCAGAGTTACCCCCCCCCCGTCATGCTCATGCTCCTCTGCCCGATGTTTTGATGGCTCCCATTCCCGATCCCCCCCCCCTTTTTCACCCCGCCCCTCTCCACACTCTTCCCCTGTTTTCCTCACGAAAATTCCTTTTCCTGGTAAGCTGGTTCATTCCCTGGTAAACTGGTCCACACCCCCAGCGTAGGTTCTGAAGGTCGTGAAGCTTTCGAAGTTTTATAACCTCCTTCCAAGCTCTCCTTAGCAGATCTTACGGCGCTGCTCAGGAGCTTCTGCGCCGCTAGTTGCTAGCTTTTAAAGGAGTCGCTTGCAGCCTTCATTGCGCTCCTTAGCCGCTTTGCACATGTTTTTTACATTCCGGGCCGATGCCGGCCGTCACTGGGGGGGGGGTCAGGGGGCCAGTGACGTCACGTTTCGTGCGGGCGGCGTTTGAATGACGGGGGACGGGTAGGAGCAGCATATAGGTGGCGATCTGCACCACAGCGCCTGTGTGAACCACAGTTCTTGCGTGCACAACAGCGCAGGTGTACACCACAGCGCCTGTGTACACCACAGCAACCGCGTGCAACACAACGCCAGAGTGCACCACAGTGCCTGCGTGCACCACAGCGCTTGTGTACACCACAGCGAATGCGTACACCAGACCAGCCGGGTGCAACACAGCACCAGTGCACACCACATACGTGCCGTGCACCACCGCCCCTGTGTACACAACGGCGCCCGTGCGCACCACATCAATCGTGCGCAACAGAACACCATTAGTGCATATATATATATATATATATATAGAAGGAATCCTTATGACAAGATGGGGCGCCAATGGATGCCGCAGGGATTTGTAAATTATGCATGGTTTGGTAAGGATTCGTTTCGTAAATAGGAGCGCCTCTGGAATCTACGAGTCCTCCCGAGGAGGAGGAGGAGGAGGAGGAGGAGGAGGAGGAGGTAAAGGAGGGAGGAGGACGGGGGGAGGAGGAGGAGGAGGAGGAGGAGGAGGAGGAGGAGGAGGAGGATGAGGAGGAGGAGGAGGAGGAGGTGCCGTGCCTTGGGGATCGGGATAGAGACAGCGGCGGCGTCCTCATGAAGGAGTTCGCTCGAGGCGTGGGACACTGTTGGCAGTGAAGTGGGAGGCGCTGTGGGCCGTGGGGGCGCTGTGGCATGGCACTGTGGCGCTTCATGGCACGAACGCGTGTCTTTTTCTCGTTCGTTCCCATTCTGCGGTGCACACTGAGATGCGCACGTGCGGTGTAGCACCGGCCCGCACGACGGGGAGACGGGTGAGGGAAGAGTAGCAGGAGGAGGATGAGGAGGAGGGGGAGGAGGAGGAGGAGGAGGAGGAGGAGGAGGAGGAGGAGGAGGAGGAAGAGGAAGGAGGAGGAGAAGGAGGAGGAGGAAAATGAGGAGGAGCGAGGAGGGAAGAACATCGCATTTTACCATCAGCTCTGCTCTCGCGTGGTGTTTAGCTGTCCGCAGCAGGTCCTCGCGGACATGTTCCGTCTACCTGTTTTGTGCACGCAGGCATTGTTATGTGCACCAGCACTGCTTTGCACGCGGATGCTGCGGTGTACGCAGGCGTTGCGGCGTACACACTCGCTGCGGTGCACGCAAACACTGTGGCGAACCCAGGCGCTGTATTGCAGACGGCCACTGCGATGCGGTGTGCACATTCGCTGTGGCGTACGCAGACGCTGCAATGCAAGCAAGCAGCGTGGCGTATGCAGGCGCTGCGTCTCACACGGTTCCTGCGGAGTACACAGGCGTTGTGGTGTGCACAGGCGTTGTGGTGCACGCGAACGCTGTGGTGCACGCGAGCGCTATGGTGCAGATCGCCACCGACATGCTGTTGCTACTTGGCTTCTGTCATCATCCGTAGGATTTTTCGGGACGCCGCTGGCGCGGAACGTGACGTCGTGGGGGAGGCGGGCTGGTGACGGCCGCTGCGTCGGATAAAAAAGGTATGTTATTTCACGGGGTTCGTTAACAACTTTTTCGTGCTTGATGCGTCCCGTATACGTTCGGTATACGATGTGCATATTTGTCGAGTATTTCCAATTCACTTTTTGTGTACGTTCCGCACACGCATTCTTGAAGTTTCGTCCATGCGTTGCACACGTTGCGCATGTTTGTTTTGTGGACGTGCCGTAGACGCTCGTATGCTTTAGTGTATGTTGCGTGTACGTTTCACATACGTGTTGTGTACGTTTCGTGCACGTACCGCACATGTGTCGCACCCATGTGCCATACGTTCCAAACGCGGGTCGGATGACGTTCATGGAAGACATACGTTTCGTATACGTTGCACATACGCACAGTCGGCGTCTTCTATCAGCTTCATAACGCTTCATAAGCGTTTCGTTGGCGTTCACGTTGCAAGTTGTTTTCGTATGCGCACCACCTACGTTTCACACATGACCACCTTCGGTTAGTTGACGGCTCATCTTCGTTAAATGTTCGTGGTATGCACGCTGCATGCTTTCCATATTCTTGTAGTACTGCTTCGGTTACAGTCATCGGCATTACGACGGCGACTACTCCTCCTCCTCCTCCTCCTCCTCTTCCTCACTCCCTTTCTTCTTACCACTACTGTTATGCGTACTACCACTACTACTACTACTACTACGACGACGACTACTACTACTACTACTACTACTACGACTACTACTAGTACTACTACTACGACTACTACTACTACTACTACTACTACTACTACACTACTACTACTGCTATGACTAATACTACTACTACTACTACTACTACTACTACTACTGCTGCTACTACTACTACTATTACTACTACTACTACTACTACTACTACTACTACTACTACTACTACTACTACTACTACTACTACTACTACTACTACTACTACTACTACTACACTACTACTACTACTACTACTACTACTACTACTACTACTACTACTACTACTACTACTACTACTACTACTACTACTACTACTACTACTACTACTACTACTACTGGTACTACTACTCGTACTACCACTGCTAGTACTACTTGTACTGCTGCTTCTACTACTGCCCCTACTACTACTACTACTACTACTACTACTACAACTACTACTACTACTACTACTACTACTACTACTTCTACTACCAGTGCTACTAGTATGATCGCTGCTACTACAACTACGACAACAACAGCTACTGCCACCACTAGTACTACTGGTGCTGCGAGTACTACTTAGTACTACTAGTACTACTACCACCACCCCCACTACTACACCTACCGAAACGATTGCCATTTTAATGATAACTACTACGACTACGCCTACGAGGCCTACTACTACTACTACTACTACTACCACTACTACTACTACTACTACTACTACTACTACTACTACTTTCTCTACTACTACTACTACTACTACTACTACTACTACTACTACTACTACTACTACTGCTACTACTAACACGACTACGACTACTACTACCACCACTACTACTACTATTACTACTACTACTACGACTACTACTACTACTACTACTACTACTACTACTACTACGGCTACTACGGCTACTACGGCTACTACCACTATCCCTAAGGGCTTCGCCCCCTGCCGCCAGCCCCCCCTCTCTCGGATAATGGGCAATGCACGAGCGAAATCATGAGGCGTCGGCGCCGCCGTGAAGCAGCGTCGGGACTTCACGCGAAGACAATGAGTACTCGGCAAGACAAATCCAGATTA